AATAATAGAAGATAATCTTTTCTAAAGATTATATATAAATTAAAAAACTGCTATTTTACTTTAATCAGAAAAAGTTATTAATAATATAAGATAGCTTTTAGAAAGATATATTATTTTTTAATAGAATCTCTTATATTTATTATATTATATGTCTTTATATCTTGCAACACCCGGGAATTAAAAACTCAGGAACTAGTTCTATTAGAAGAACTAGTTTTATCTGAGTCTTCGACTATTATATATATTTAGATAGAGATAGAGACCCGGTCTTTATAATTTCTATATTATTATAATCACTATTCCGGACAGTATAAAGAATAAATATTTTATATTTTTTCTTATTTTTTCTATACTAGATTCTGTAAAAGTCTTTTTCAGAGTATAATATATCTCTTAATATAATTAATTAAGCAGATTAAGCAGTAGATTATATCTAAAGAATATTATTATATCTATACTATAATTAAATATATATTATACTTTGTATATTATCTATATAAGAAGAATATATATATTATAAATTAATCTGCGGTTATTAATCTATCTATTATATCTGATTTTTCTAACCGGCAGGTATAAATAGTTATAATAATAATTATATCTTAACCTAATCTTAACTGTATAATTAAAAATTTTTTATATCTTAATCTAATTATTAGATTATAGCCAGGTTAAGGTTAAGGTATAACAGTCAGGTTAAGCCACTCTATCTTTACCTCACTTTCATCTTATTTTTGTATCTAATTTATATAAGAAAGTAAGAGTTCAGTAAAGTCTTTCTAAGAGATCAGAGAAAAGTTCTTACTTAATTATCTAATCTCTGATTCTTCTTATTTTTTTACTTTTCTTATCTTTCTCTTACTTTTATCTCACTTTTGTATTAAATTTGTATAAGAAAGTGAAAGTTTAATAAAGTCTTCTTAAGAAAAGTTCTTACTTCTTAAGAAAAGTTCTTAAGTTTTTTTTAAAAAATTAAATATAGAATAATCTTCTGATTTTTTATAATATATATAATCTTAAGATTAAGAAAAGAAGAAAAGATCTGATTTAAAAAGCTTATCTTAGTTTAAATATTATTATAATTTATAAAAATCTAAGAAATAGAAGAAGAAGATTTAATAATATTTTTTAAAAATAAATTAAATAACTATAATTAACTTATAATTCTAAAGCTGTTTTATAAATAATAAATATAAAAAAATAAAAGCAGAAAACTCTGTTTAATAAATATTAAATTAAAATAAAAATTTAATATAATAATAAAATAAGATTTAGTTTTTAATTATAAATCTAATAATAGATTTAATAAGCAGAAATTTATATCTAGAATCTAGAATTATAAAATAGTTTTTTTTTTTAAATAAAGCTATTTAAGATATAATAAACTAGAATAGAAAATAGATATTTATAAAAAAAATTTATAAAAAACTTTTATAAAATCTTTTATAAAAGCTATAATATTATAGTATAGATCTAATATATTCTATTTATTCTATTTATTTATTTTATTTATTTAATTTATTTAATTTATTTAATTTATTTAATCTATTTGATCTGCTTTATTTTAATAATTTAATTATTTATAATTTTCTTAATTATCTATCTGTTTTTAATTTTATTAATAGCTCTTTGAGCTATATTTTATTTATAAATCTAAAAATAATCTAATTCAGAAAAAATAGTAAAATAAAAATAATATATTTATTTTTAATATTTTAATTAATAATTAATATATAATTTTTCTAGTATTCTATAATATAATTAAGATATATACTTAAAATAAAGTAATAATTATATATTTTTATATATATTTTTTACTATAAGAATAATAATTTTATAAAAAACTAAATTTTATTAATATAACTAGAATTTTTTTATTATTTCTAATATATAATAATAAAAAAGATACTAATTTCTTTTTTAATTATATTTTTTTAATTTAAAAAGCTTCTTTTTATATATTTTTAAATAATAATAAAAATAATCAGATTAATAATTATTTAATCTAGATATATCTTAATTATACTAGAGCTTAAAAAGATATAGCAGATAGATCTTAATATTAAGAATAATTAAAATAATTAATTATCTGGTTTTTAGCTATATTATAATCAGATATAAAAATTTTTTTAATCTAATTATAATCTGGCGGTTAGATATAAAAATTCCAATTAACCTGACCTGACCTGGCTGTTAGCCACTCTAAATAAAAAGATTATAAAGAATTAAATTCTTAATTATTTATAAAAAATTAGATCTGTATAATTTAATACTGTAATAATATATTTTAATATCTTGAAAATAATATTATATTTAGTTAAATTTATAATTAATTCTGGATCGGAGTATTAAAAAATAATAAATTATTTATTTTAATATTTTTGAAATATATAAGATAAATATATTTAGTATTTAAATATTATTAAAGATAAAAGAATATTTTCTAAAAAAAATAAAAAAAAAATATAATTAAAATTATTAGTAATATAATTTATATAGATTTTAAAGATTAGTAATTTTTAAAAAATTATATATATTATTTATATAAAGAATCTATTAATTAGTAAGTAAATAAATAAAAAATAATAATTATGTTAATAATAAAAACTAAATTACTTGTAATATTAAAAGCCGCGAAGAATATATTTTAATAGAGATATTTTTTTAATATTATTAGATTTAATTCTAATTATATTATATTAATTAATTATAATAATTAATAAATATTTTAAATTCTAATTAATAAGAAATTTTATATAATAATCTATTTTTATTATATTAATATTTATTAGTATTAGCTTTGTTAAGAGATTTAGAATAGTTAAATTAATATATATTAATAATTTATAAATAAGATAGCAGCTAATAATCTTATTAAATTATTAATATTTTAAAGTTATATAAAATTTATTAAATTACTAGAATTAATTAATTAAATTAACTAGTTATCTTGCTATTAAAATTATTATATTTAAAAATTAATTTAATATTATATTAATATTTTATTATTAGAAATTACAGTCTTTGCAGACTGAAGAGAATATATTAAATAAAATAAAAGCTTAATATAATAATAAAATAAGATTTAGCTCTTTAATCTCTGATTAATCTGAATCAGTCTATATATAGTCTTATATATAACTTTATATATATCTAATTATTGTCTGATTCTATATTTATATAGCTCAACTGCCTGCGCAGCAGTATTATAGAAGCAGACCTTTATTATATTATCATTCTAGACCTGACACCACAGTTATGGCTATTTTTACTATTCACCTTTTCTCATAGTCGGTGATCCATAGAAGATTTTTCTTATTTTAGTGGATTATAGGCATTCACACCATATGTCACAATGCCACCCTTGCAAGCCTTGTTCCCATGACACGAGATCAATATATATATGCATTCCGGAAACACAGTGATTCTATTGGGTTTATAGTGGCCCGAGGGGGTTGGACATATTCATAATACCGACTTACGAGAAGCAACAGTTAGATGTAAGGTATTGAAATCTAACTGTAGGCATCACACTACTTTACTGTTTAGCTTCCGAACGATGAGTTGCGCAAGTAGATGACTTGGAGAGAATGATCAAAAACCCCTTCGAAGGCCTCCAAGAGATTTCCCTGACCAGGCTTCTATAGTGATCTTGTGTTCAGGACCTTATGTATCATGTAATGTCTTTCTGTAGAGTGAACCAAGCGTTGTAATCTCCATTAGATTCTCCAGCGGTCTCATCTTCATAAACTAGCTGAAGCTTGTTGACGTCGTAGTAGTTAGTTGCGCTTGTAGCGTTGAAAGCAAGTATATATAGTATCGTAATCCCACTTACGCCCGCGGGCTCGCCATTGTCTGGCTGCCGTGGTAAAAGTGTTCCACGCTTCATGGGCGTCCGCAGCGTATTGCCTAGCCACGACAAGAAATTTGGGATAGATGTCAATCTTTTCCTGGACGGTCATGACATAGGCTCCTTGGATGTAGATATTATTGCTGTCACAAATCCGGTAAAAGGCTCTCGTGAACTCAGGCTTGGCCCAGATGATTCGGACTTGTTAACACGAAGGGATAGATCCTGAAGCTATTCAGATATCTCGGGCTCGGCTGACGGCCCTTGACACATGTAGTTCCGGACGATGACTTGTGTTCGGTATGATCTACCCAAATACCAGATTCTGGGACCCAACCGGTCGGCTTCGGCATCCAAGCGACCTGTCATTGTTGCAGTGTATATGACATCGCCACACCGCGATTCATTGAAATGGCAGCGGTATGGCACTCCTCTCAGGATGACATACTGTTGGATGTTGTTGTCTGATATGTGCTAAGAAAGAAAGATGTAGTTAAACCATCAATCATGATGTGGATTAAATGGTCTCTCTTCATGGAGTATTTAGGTTAAGGGCCATAAGCTGATTTATCTGGCAGATGATGGTGATGGCCATGGAGGGGATGGTGGAGGTGGTGGAGGTGGTGGAGATGGAAAGAGTTGGTAAGTCTGAGAGGAGGCAAGGGTGGCCTCTTTACTATATAAGGACATCATATTTCAATTCCCCTTGTTCAATTTACCTGATACTGATCCCAGTGGCAGAACTAGCTATGGAGTCCTTCACTGATACAGCACAATGTCGATCACTGCACGAAGCAATATAGCCAAACAACCCAGAAACCAAAGCTAATATTAATACCTAGGCAGTAATGACAGCCAACCTCGGCTCTCCATCTCGCCAAAGCCACACCTCCAGCCCTAAAGACACGCCCCACTGCCACTAGCCCCCAACAGTAGTTATCTAGTTATCAAGAAATCGCATTGCTAAGCCATCCGTCAGCCGCAGCTCAGGCCCCGCCGTCTACCAATGATCGGGATCCCGCGTCCATCCATTCCGCACTGATGGCGCGTATCTTCACGATGAGGCTGCGATGCGGCATACGATGTGATGGGTTGATGATGCATCGCGGGATATTCCTCCCTATCTCTTAAACCTCCCCCCCCCCAACAACGGCTCTGTCCCAGTATTTCCGTCCCCTCATCTGCTCTACTTCCCGATCCGACCCGCCCCCGCAGCCCTAAGACTGACTAGCACGCCCTTATCGACTCCAACCCCGTCTCGATTGCATCAGCACCGCATGTCCAGGCCAGCTAGCGGGGTTTGTGCCTGACAGCTCCGGTCGCGTCGATCGTCCCCCGACTTTCTGCTTCTCCCCTCACAACAGCGACACTGTACAGCATCACCCACCATGACGCGATCCGGCCCCAACTCGTTTCAGCAGCTGGAAAAGGTATCCCCCCATACTGAACATGACATCATTATCACTGGAAAACCACTACTAACGAACCCCAGCTTGGCGAAGGCACCTACGCCACGGTACCTCCCCCCCCCCCCCCAAAACAAACCCCCCTCCGCACCCCTTACCTAACCCTCATAATAAAACCAGGTCTTCAAAGGCCGCAACACCCAAACCGGCGAGCTCGTCGCCCTCAAAGAAATCGCCCTGGACACGGAAGAAGGCACGCCCAGCACCGCGATCCGCGAAATCTCACTAATGAAAGAGCTGCACCACGAAAACATCCTCCGGCTTCACGACGTCATCCACGCGGAATCCAAACTGATGCTGGTGTTCGAATACATGGACAAAGACCTGAAGCGGTACATGGACACGCACGGGGAACTGTCCGCCGGCGTGATCAAATCGTTCGTCTACCAGCTGCTCCAGGGGGTGAGTTACTGCCACGACAACCGGATCCTGCACCGCGACCTCAAGCCGCAGAACCTGCTGGTGAACGCGCAGGGCCAGCTGAAGCTGGGGGACTTTGGGCTGGCGCGCGCGATTGGGATCCCGGTCAATACGTTCTCGAATGAGGTGGTGACGCTGTGGTATCGCGCGCCGGACGTCTTGCTGGGCAGTCGCAGTTATAGCACCAGTATTGATATGTGGAGTATTGGGTGCATTGCGGCGGAGTTGTGGAGGGGGAGGTCGCTGTTTCCCGGGTCGAATAATGAGGATCAGTTGAAGAGGATCTTTAAGGTTATGGGGACTCCGTCGGAGAGGTCCTGGCCTGGCGTGAGTAAGTTGCCCGAGTATAGGGCTGATTTTCCGGTTTATGTCCAGCAGGAGTTGAGGGCGTTGGTGCCTAGGGTGGATCCGTTGGGGTTGGATCTCGTGGGCAGGATGTTGAGGGTTATCCCGGAACGGAGGATTACAGCCAAGGAGGCCTTGAGGCATGCTTGGTTTGAGGATTTGGGGGTGTAGTTGGGTTGCTCGGGGTGGTAATGTCTGTTGGATAGTTGGATGGTTAGTTGTGGGACTGGTGGTGGAGACCCGCATACGATTGTGTCTTGTGGAATAGGATGAGGATATACCTATATGGGATAGGGATGGGCAGGATCTCTGTAAACCCTGCTGGGCCACCAGGTTGAGACTCCCCCCTTTGCCACGGCGACCTCTCATCAACCCTGGAGGGCATCAATTCCCCTTGACGCCCACCAAGAAACTCAAAGCACCAAATCTGAATCGATAAAAAAAAACTATATACATGCACACCCCACCCCACCCCTCCCAGTGACTATAAACACCCCAAGCCCTCTCCTCTATAATCTCCAGGTTTAATCTCCAAACTAATCGTCACCCCAAACAGCACCTCAAGCCTTACTCGACTCAATACAAACACTATGTCTCGTCACAATACTGTGATGCGTTTCCACCAGCGTCCCCTCCGTCGACCACCCCCCAGAATGCGGGGAATCGAGCGGTCTCTTCGACTCCGTGGTATTGCGGATGCGAGACCACACCTTTAGGTTAAATAGGGGGCGGAGGTGCGAGAGACACGCGGCAGTGATTCCCACGGCAGCTTCGATGCACGTCCATACTGCGACGGGGACTTGATTGTCTGTTATCATCATCAGTATTTGAATTCAACTTGCGAAAGGCAGGGAGGGGAGGGCAGGGGTAGTACATGTAATATCCGGCCCAGCATTAACCAGGTCAATCATCGCAACAAGGCGCACGATATCGAAAATAAGCGTCCTATCCCCACCCACCGTCAGCAAACACAACACACCACTCGCTCTCCCGGAGCTTATCAACCAAGGTAGGTATAAAAACATACAAAATCCCCACCAAGAACACCCCCGAAAGCAACCCCCTCTGCCTCTTCGAAATCGGCAACGACCAAACACTCCTCATCGGCATCACCAGCAAGACCATATCCGTGAGGATATTCGGGATCTGCTGTCCGTAGTAATAGCTCACGGTGTCCATGCAGGAACCCTCGACGGCGCGGTCCCAGAATTTTTGAACGGGGACGCAGTTGAATACGCCGGCGAGGGAGACACTCACGGCCCAGAGGATCACGATTACGCTGACGATGTTGGCGGCGCGGGTCATGCGGGGGGCCGTGAAGAGGCGTTTGTATACGCATAGGATGGAGAGCTTGATGAAGGCGATGCAGCAGGTGTAGACGAAGGAGTTGGACCAGCCGATCTGGGTGGAGGCGTTGGTATCTGTGTTAGGCTTTGGGTTTGTGGGGTCGGGGGGGATGAGTGGGGGACGAACCTGGAAGTAGACGGTCAGGTTCTTTTTCGGGATCATGGTGATGTGTGAGCCGATGCCGTTGAAGAGGACTGCGGTTTCGTGTTAGATGCCATCGCATCGGGGGGTGATGTCAACGTACTGATAACGACACCGATCGAGCAGCCATATTTGAATAGCTGCATTGGTCGGTTAGCGTGCTACCAGAGAGCGAGCGCAGTGACAGCCATACCAGCGCAATCATAATCAGATAATCATCCAGATACAACCTCGCCCCGGTGACCCTCCGCGCCAACAGCCGCAAACCCACCGCCGTCGTGGAGAGAATGAAGGCAAAGCAAATGGCAATAATAAGCGACCTCCGCAAGCGCTCATTGGGATGGTCGAAGTCGCCCTCCGTGGCACGATGTGACACTCGCAGCAGAGACATGACGGTGGCGAGGAAAGACGCGTGAAGAATACGATGCAGAGTCGTTCGTGGCTGCAGGTATTTGGAATGTCGGCGCAGAAACACGGCGTCCACAGATAAATAAGTCAATCCCGTCCCGTCCTTCTGGAGGCGCGGCCTGCCCTATTTTTGGACCTGACAGCCGTCAGTCGGGGGCATTGTCGATGTGTGTTGCGATCTGCATGATTATCGAGATGAGGATGATATTAAGCTTCTATACATCACATTTCATGCGGCAGGGAGGGGTTGCCATGGATCGGGCAAGGGTAGGTGCGTGGTTAGCTTGAGGAAGGGGGGCAGGGGTGGGCGATGCACATCCTGAATGTTGGAGGCAACTGTTGGCAACCAAGGGGGGAGGGGGGATGTTGGACAGACGGGCTGGACGACGCCGTTGAATCTTCCGGACGATAGACTGGCGATCTAACGACGCGGCGGCTCTAGCCTTGTCTGTGCGTGAAGACCTTGCTTCTTCGAGGCCAAACACAGCCATGGCGGTCGTTCTATCGAGGCTGTCGTTCCTCCATCTCGCGTGGCCACTGACGCCTGATAAGGTTCGCGGACGGGCTGCGATCGGATCTGTCACTTCCAGGGCGGATGCGTCAACTCCTGGGTCCACTTAGTGTAGCTTCCTTGGTTGGACGATTAGGGGCTGGTGCGAAGCACATACCCCCTATCGTCTTGGGGCTGTCGACCTTCTCGCTTCCTCTGGTTGTCTGCTCCATCGGGGGTGATGGCTTTGACAGTGCGTGGTCTCGAGGGTATTTCTCTGCTGACACTTTCCGTCCGGGCTGCGTCCTAAGACTCCTTTTCCTTCCTCCCGCGGTAGCAGGGCTTCTATAATATCTCCTGATTGCCATATTTGCAACTGTCCCCTATACTTGGTGCTTCATTTTGCGTGAATCCACCGTGTTGGTGCCCCTATTCCCTTCTGGATAGGCCGCGGCGGCGGGGGCTGCAATTGTTGAAGCCAGGATGACTAGTGCAAACAGGAGGCTAGTCTGCCTCTGCTATGGACCCATTCGTTGGTGATGTGCAAATGACTGTTTGGAGGAAGATTCCGAGGGTGTGCAACAGCCAAGAGTCGGCATTTCATTGGCGTCTGCCTCACTGAACTCCGTTCTTTGTTGACATAGGCCTGTATTAAGATAGCAGCGGACGGTTGCAGCATTTGTCAGGGATTCACCATAGGAGAAACAAAACAGTGGCTGTACACCATCCAGCAGACTGGCATTGGGCAGCATGTCCGCATCCATGGTGAGCAGACATTCTCTTCAGCGGGGCATCTATCATCAGCCAAAATTCAGAAGAACCGAAAAAGTGGGTCTGCGGGAGTGAAAGCCGCCTGGAAATGGGGAGAGTCAGCACTAGACACGGAGTCGGTCGCAGGGTTCTATCGAGCTGACATCAGTGCTAGTAAGTATTCACTCCTCAGCCCTTGCTGTTCTTCATGCCGTTCTCCAGGCTGGGGATCCTGTCCAGCCGAACACCGACGCCGATCTGCCCCCTGTGGATGGTGACATCGGGCAGATGGCGATGCACGGGCCTGGGATCATCAGGCCAACGCCCGGACCGGTTAGGGCAACACACAATGCGATCCACCGCCGCCTCTTGGCGCCATTCCTTCCTTCACCCGACCGAGGTTCTTTCTCGCCTTCTTCCTCTTTCATCTCCACCCCCGATATACCGTCACGTCCAGCCATATCAACATCCCTGCACCACTTCACCACCCCGATGTCCGAGATCACTATCACAGAGGGCGAGTTCCGCCTCCCCGACGGCGTCGCCGTCTACCAGAAGACATGGTCGGTCAGTCGCATCCCCATCCCATCCATCACATGCCGCCCTCCCCCTCTATCCAACCCACCACCAAATCTAACACCACGCAGCCCCCCATCCCCAAGGCCAAACTAGTCCACTTCCACGGCTTCAGCGACCACATCAACAACAGCAACGAGCTCTTCACCAACCTCGCGCAGCAAGGCATCCACGTGTCGGGAATCGACCAACGCGGCTGGGGACGGTCCGCGCCCACCAAGGCGTCCCGGGGAAACACGGGCCCGACGCCCTTCATCCTCGCCGACCTGGCCTCTTTCATCAAGTCCCAGCAAAGCGAGATCTACCCGGACCTCCCCCTCTTCATCAGCGGTCACTCCATGGGCGGCGGCCTGGTCGCCACCCTCGCCTCAACCCCCGAGTACCAGCCCCTGGTCTCCTCCTTCCGGGGCATCATTCTCCTTGCGCCTCTCATCGGACTCACCCCCATGCAAACCCCCAGCTCGGTGACCGTCTTCCTCGGCCGACTAGCGGGAAAGCTCCTCCCGCACCACCAACTAACCCAGCGCATGAAGATCGAGTCTATTGCGCGTGATCCGGACGTGCAGACGATGCTGAGATCCGACCCGCTGAACCATGGAACGGGGACGTTGGAGATGTTTGCCGCGATGTTGGATCGCACGGCGGATTTGTCGAGCGGCAAGTTGGTTCTCCAGGATGGGGTCAGGTCGGTTTATTTGGCCCATGGGAATGCGGACGGGTGTACGAGTTTTGAGGCGAGTAGGAAGTGGTTTGACAGTCAGACGGGGGGGATGTTGCAGGGGGATAAGTGCTTTAAGGAGTATGATGGCTGGTGTCATGTTTTGCATCTAGATTCGAAGGATAATAGGAAGACGTATGCGGATGATTTGGCGGGGTGGATTTTGGGGAGGGAGTAGGGGGTTTTTTTTCTTCTGTTTTGTTTGGACGGGGGGGGGGGTGGATTGATGGGGGTGGTATATATATCTGCTGGGTCATATTTTATACTGAGGTTTCGATGCTGTGGTCTGAATAATAGAATTTGATTTATATCATCAGTATTTGGGGATGTATCCTATATCTTCCCCGATTGAATGTATAAACATAAATCAATATTTACATAAAAGCCGCATAAGAGAGCCCCAACCGAAATGCGACTCCACCAACTCCAACAACAACTCCACCAAATATCACTCATAACAGTCCACCTCACCTCCCACACCCCATAACCGTCACAGTCGCATACTCATAAACAACATCCACATCACTTCCTCCCCGCCCACAACATCACTCACCATCGCGGTGCGAGTGGTGAAGATAGTATCGGTGCTACAGTACGTTCAATAGGTGATCAGGAAAATGCAGTTAGACCATCGATCATGATGTGGATTAAATGGTCTCTCTTCGTCGAATATGTAGGCCGGATGACTTGGGTTTTCTCCCGAGGATAGGCGAACATAGTATATATGGTGTTGAAATGAGGGGAATGGCTGGGGATGTGAGAAAAGCGATTGAACCACTTTAACTCAGTCTGAACCCAAAGTACTACCCACAACCCCAACGACATCTTCGATGTGGCACTGTAGCTATATACAGCGGTGAGTCCGCTGTGTCGACTGCGGAGATTTCGAGTCCCGGGATCCACCCGTCGGCTCCAATTGCCCTGGGAAATCAGGGCGGCGATGTGCAAAATAGGGCTAGTACCTGGGACGGGACCCCGGGGCTATCTCGCGATGAGTGGAAAAAGGCCACTGGTGTACTCGGGCTTCACAAGGTATGTATTTCACTTGAGCAGTGGGGGGGGTGTTGTGGCTGCAATGCGTCATGTTGCCCTTTCTAAAGTCCGAGGGCAAACAGACCTGCTGCGATGATCATGCGATGGAGCCGTTGGAGTGGAGCTAACCTATTCCTGGCCGGTCCCTGATCGCTACTGCAACAGGACAAGGCTCAGCCCCCACTCGCCAAATCCCCTAATCTCGTGGTGATGGATGTCTCTCCCACAACCACCAACCCCAACCCCAACCCCCATCCGCCCTCTACCCTTTGGTGGTCTTCCATCCCACGCCATTCACCATGACCCAAGGACTCCACAACCCCTTCCCTGCCTCGCTGCGGAGTACGTGTCTCGCGTTCTATCCACCCCCATCGGATCGGTAAACCAACAACCCCTCGCTAACCATCCGCAGGTGAATGCAGCAAGGCAGCCCAGATCCTCGAAGCCTTCACCAACCCCGACGCCTTCAACAGCCCGTCGCGCACCCTTCCCCAGAGGATTCTCACCGGCGCCAAGGCGAGCTCAGCCCAACACCCAGGCTTCCTCGCCCCGAACTGACATCTAACACAGGGCCTCGCCATCCTCACCGTCGCCAAGGCCGCATTCCTGGGCTCGGTGCGCTTCGGCTCCGGCATTCTCGTGTCGCGTCTCGACGATGGCTCGTGGTCCGCGCCGTCTGCGATCGTCATGGTGGGTGGCGGCTTTGGAGGCCAGATCGGGGTGGAAGTGACAGACTTTGTGTTTATTCTTCACAACGATCTGGCGGTACGCACCTTTGCACAGTTGGGAACTGTCACATTGGGCATCAATGCGTCGTTGGCGCTGGGGACACTCGGGCGAAATGGGGAGATCGGGGGTGCTGCCAGCATCGGGGGCGCTGTCGGGGTGTTTTCGTATGGGCAGACAAAGGGCGTGTTTGGTGGTGCCAGTGTGGAGGGGGCGATGATAATTGAGAGTCGGCTTTCCAATAAAAGGCTGTATGGGCGTAGGGTTACGGCGCGGGAGTTGCTCGGTGGGGAAATTCCCCCGCCTGAGGAGGCGAGGGAGCTGTTGCAGCGCTTGCAATCGGGTGTGTTCGAGGGGGAGGATTCGAAATCTCGTGGATTGCCTGACGAGTCGCCGGCTGGGGAAATCACCATCCCCATTCCGCCTGAGCTCCCCTCGGGAGAGGCTTCTGAACGCGCAGCCGAGCTGCCTTCTCAGGTACTACCTCACGAGGCGAGCCAGACTCCATCCGAACTCCCATCAGAAGGGTCTGAAGTCTCCGAGCTTTTGTCTGATGACGCTCCAGGAGACAGATCGCCCCGTTCTGAGCTCCCACCGATCACTGAGGCGTTTGAATTGCCAGCCGAGCTACCAGCCGAGCTGCCAGGATCAATGGTGGAGCTTTCCCCTTTGTCTCCTTCGCATCCTGGATACTCGATCCAGCGCAAACCAACCCCGACATCTCCGGTCTCAGCAAACTCCACTGCCGAGCCACCTACACGCGATGTCTAACCGTGGGAGGGCGAGCTGCTTCCCAGCCTGCTGACCCCATTTCGATTGTGACTCACCTTTTTCTCGGACCGTATAGCTAGACGATCACCCCACTCGGCATACAAGGCAACCTCAGCTTCGATTTTTTCCGGTGTCGGACGTTAAATTCTCCTATCATCGCACGCACACAGCCTGTTCGGAGATTGGCGTACCCCCGCTAGATCCGAGAGTCGATTATCAATCAGCAACCAGGATGGCAAGGCTGATATTCAGCTCAATAGGCATCTACTTTCACGGCCAATAGAATGCCATACTGATTGATAACCGAGTTAAGCTAATACAGCCTCCCAAACTATGACATTTTGGCGCGACACAAAACCCCTCTTTTCTATGTCCGACAATCACCGATATCAGCGAGTCCCGGGGCCGAGCTTCGGATTTCGATCTGATAACCAGCCAACTATAAGAACATGAAACTATCACTTCCTACTCTCCTTCGCCATCTACTGATCAATCAATATCATACTTGCAATAACACATCCAAAACCACACCATACCATCAACCAACACCCCCCCAGACAACAAACCAAAATGTCCATCGCCAACGCCATCCACGCCTCCACCGTGGAGACCTACATCGAATCGCACCTCTCCACCCCCGATCCAGCCATCACCCACGCCCGCGAAACAACCCACCAGCACAACATCCCCTCCATCTCGCTGTCACCCGGCCAGGGCCGCTTCCTCAAAATGCTCGCCTCCTGCACCAAAGCCCAAAACATCCTCGAGCTCGGCACCCTAGGCGGACACTCCACCATCTGGCTCTCCCGGGCCATCAAAGAGCGCGGCGGCAAAGTCACCAGCATCGACATCAACCCTCTCCATCGCGACGTCGCCACCGAGAATCTGCGCTTCGCGGGCGTGAAAGTCCCCGAGGATGTCGAGATCCTCCTCGGTGCCGGGCTGGATATCCTTCCGTCGCTGGAAAAAGATATTCAGAGTGGAGTCCGCGAGCCGTTTGATTTCGTGTTCATTGATGCGGATTGGCCGAACCAGTGGCGGTATTTTGATTATGGGGTTCGATTGGCGAGGGGGACGGGGAGTGTGCTTTTTGTGGATAATGCGGTCGCTGCGTTGTTGGATTATGGGGTTGTTGGGCCGGAGGAGAGGGATGAGGGGTTTGTGTCGCTGGTGGAGGAGGTCGGGAGGGATGAGAGGGTTGAGGCGGTGGTGGTGCAGACGGTTGGGGCGAGGAGTTATGATGGGTTTTTGATGGCGGTGGTGAATTAGATGGGAATGACCGACTGACTCTGTTTTGCTTTGATTTTGTGGCGATGTGTACTTGGATCATGACATTCGGATTTCTCTGACGGAATATAGTAATGAACCTTCCTTGTCCCCAGACTCCTAGTCTTTTTTTTTTTTTTGAAATGGCCTTTGGTTTTGTTTTCTTTTCGAAAACACTCCCGGATGATTTGAAACATGATCTCCGGACTCCGATAGATAGTATATATCTTCATCCTTTCCCCGCACCAACCTCGCTCTGCTCCTTTTATCCCCGTTCTCTTTTCCTTGAATAAAAACCACAAAGACCTTCCCGATTACCCACCCAACCCGCTCTGAACCCATCCGCCGAAATCCGCCTTACCCCTCCACCAACCCACCCCACACCACCCCAATCTAATCAGACCCCCCCCCCCCAGCTATCTCCGACAACCCCGACCCGAGAACTCCGCTATCTCCGAGCCTCAAAACCCCCCGTCCCCTCGGACGCCCGACCGGACCCTTCCTTCCACTCTCACCACATGCCACCACCACCCACTCCTCAGTACTAGTACTTATTGATTGATCGAAATGTCCCCCCGCAGCTCCCCTCGGAGATCGCCCCCCCGCTTCCCCCCATCTCCCACCCCGAACCCACCAGCAAAAAACGCAAGCGCATCTCCCTCTCCTGCTTCGACTGTCGGCGTCGGAAGCTGAAATGCGACCGCGAGTTCCCTGCCTGCGGCCGATGTCGTCGCGCCGGGCAGGCGGAGACGTGCTATTACGATGATGCGCCTGCGCGGCCCTCGCCGGTGAATCGGTTTGTTACGCCGGTGAGTGCGGGGGTGGTGGTTTGTCTGGGAGTGGAACTGGGAATGGAACTGGTGGTGGTGGAGGTGTTGCGCGCGCGTCAGGGCTAGCGTCGGTCGAAGCGACGCCAAATCTGGGCGCGTGGCAGCTCCTCGGCCATGCTTCGTCGGCGACGGGGGTGAATGAGCAGTTACCGCTGATCCGGACGGACGTGCGCAAGGAGTTGCAGAGTTCGGGGCAGATGATGCCGGGCGAGCCGGAGACGAACATCTTCCGGGGAAAGAATTTCATGACGCAGTATTACGGGAGTAGTAATCCGATTAGTCTCATTTCGCATGTAAGGGCTCTCTATCTATCGGGTTCTGGGGATTGGAGTGGGTGATTGATGGGAGGGGAAGGGAGGACTGGGGGTGTTGGATGATGGATGATGGATTGGTTGGCTAATGTGTCTGGTGTGGGTGTGAGTGTGTGGATAGTTACCCGAGCTGCGCTCATTCATGAAAGAGACGATCATGCAGCGGACGTCGCTGGCGACGCTGCAGCGCGATCTGAAGGCGTTGCAGGTCAAATGGAAAGCCTCTCGGACGGAACTCTTACCGAAGAGTGAGGCGGAGCTGTTCTGTCTCCTGCCGGACCAGGAGACGGTCGATGCGCATGTCGGTCTCTACTGGAAGACGTTCGAGACGGTGTATCACGTTCTGCACTATCCGAGCTTCTCGAAGGAGTATGACGCCTTCCGACAGGATCACCGCGCCGCGAAGCCGGCGTTCGTGGTGCTGTTGCTGCTGATCATGGCGTCGGTGAGTTGTATCGCGCACCGCGACCAGTGGAAGTATATTGGGGAGACGTCGGTGGATCGTGAGCGGGCGACGCTGTGGGTCGAGGCGGCGGAGGGGTGGCTTTCGACCCAGAGCCAGAAGAATGTGTACCTGGCGATCTGGCAGATACGGTGTTTGTTGGTCGTGGCGAAGCAGGTCAATTCGGTGAAGAAGAAACGGGTCTGGACGGTCGCGGGGAATCTGGTCAGAGAGGCCATCTCGGCGGGGTTTCATCGCGATCCGAGTTTGCTGGGGGAAAGGGTGTCGCTGTTTGATCAGGAGATGAGACGCAGGTTGTGGGCGACGATCATTGAGTTGGATCTGCAGGCGTCGATTGATCGTGGGATGCCCTCCGCGATGGCCTGCATGACGTCTGATGCGACCCCGCTGCGCAATGTCGATGATGAGGATCTCGTCGTGGATGATATGTCGATCCCGGCCTGCAAGCCCTGGACAGAGTTTACCAAGTCCTCGTTTCTGCATGTTTCAGCGGCCACTTTCGCGTTGAGGACGGCGCTGAACTGTAAGGTCAATGATTTGGGGTCGCGTTCCACGTACGAAGAGGTCTTGGACGCGGAGGAGAAAATCACCGCTGAGCTGAAGAGACTTCCCAACTGGAATGAAGTCCAAGGGGCGTCGTTGGCGAGGTCTCTGCTGGAACTCCAGCTCCGGCACTTCCTGATGATGCTGCATGCCCCGTTCGCACGCCAGAGCGACACCAACCCGCGCTACTCGCTGTCCAGGATGGTCTGCTTCAACGCCGCCTTCACCATCATCGAGAAGCACCACAGGCTGACCAAATCCGGCAACCATCTGCTTCTGCTCCTGCGACACGACTACTTCCGAGCTGCCCTGGTCGTCTGCCACAATATGTACATCGCAGCCCATCTCCAGAGTATGTGATCTATCCATTTGTGAAGTTCCCCTTCCTTAATATGTGCCACTTCACTCACGGCCAACAGACAACATCCTCCTCGGCTCCAACAGCACTACCATCCTGCAATACATCGAAACATCCCTCGACCTGATCTCCGACCGAATCACCCGCCATGGCACCGGATACACCAACTACTGGTACATCTCCGCCGCGTACGCCTTCCTCCAATGCGTGCTGTATCCAACCGGCCAGACGGCGCGCAAGGAGGAGGCCATCGATCGCATTATTCGTCAGTATCATCGCATTCTCGCCAGTCAGGAGGATTTGCACAAGGCGAAGGAGATTTTGTTTCCGATGCGGTTGGATCAGGTATGTCGAATGAACAAACAAACTCCTCTCTTCTTGTATGTCGGTGGGATTTGGGGATTGCTGATGGTGGCGGTGCTAGATTGCCCCTCCGGGAGATGGTATGTTGCAGACGGGTCACGGAGGGTTTATGGCGCAGGAGGAGAATATGGCACAGGTAAGTGGTTTGTTTGTGGCTTGGGAGAGGTGGGTTGGTGGTTGATGGTTGAGGCTGATCGTGGTAGGATCCGTTTGAGCGGCCGGATCTGTCGTTGAGTGAGTTCTATTTTGGGAATCCGTCGGCGTGGATCTTTGATAATATGTGGGAGATGGAGTAGGGGCTGTAGGGTTGCTGTGCGAGTGCGTTGGGGAGTTGGATACGGTGCTGTTGGTATATATTGGTCTAATGGTGGGTGAGGAGACTCGAATCTAGCGCATTTGGGAGCATGGTGGGCGGAATAAGTTGGTCAGGGCTTGGGTGGGGGATAGGGTGTTCTGCTTGACGTGAACCTCACTCGAGGGGAACTTGAAGATATAGTTGGCACGAAGATGAGAACTCTGAGATGAACATACCAGCACGAGAGACCTTTGTAAGAGCTAGACAATAACCCTCTCGACACCCCCTCACGCGGACCGGGATGGAAGAGGCTTGCAATGCAATGGTAGAGCTCGTGTTCGCGCCACGACCCGAGTATCGGCCGGGAATAGAATCTCCGCCGTCTGACTAGGAGTACGATGGCTGGTACCGATCCCCAGTAGTCGAATCAACACGTCGAAACTGAAACGTCATACTGTCATGGACTAGGGCACCGCAACGTCCCCCCTGGCTGCGTTGCAACGGTCGGAACGGTCGCCACTGCCATGGGGTCCGGTGAAGCTTTGGCGTTCTAGATCTAGATCGGGGTTCTGGTCTCGGGGGAAATGGAGAATACGACGCTTGCCGAGGACCCTGAGTTGAAGCTGGCGTCGGGAATTGGCTCGGTAGGTGGTATTTGCGGGGGTTGTGCTGGGGTGGAGGTATCGGCAGAGTAGTTAGTGGATGAAGGGAGTCGGGGATGAAAGTTTGATTTGCCAGTTACCTAACGTGTGTCTGGGGTGGTCTGTATGGTGGGATGGTAGATTGCGAGATGGAAGTTACTCTGAGAATTGAAGGCATTGGGAGTTGGCCTACGCAAATGGAATCTACTGGTTTGATGTTGATATGGAGTACTATATTGAATGCGTCGTATATCTGGTATGCACTGATATTAAAACCCTTGTCTCTGACGGTCCCTTGCAGGTGGGCTATTAAGCATTTTAGTTTCAATAATGACAAACCGCCCAGCTACTCAACGAGCCCTCTTTTCTCTCCGTCAACAGCCCCGAAACACCCGATTATATCGCACCATTTATGAACATCAATAATTTTCTAAACACCTCCTGTATGCTCTACCCATCCTTGCATTCCACTCCATCCGGCCGAAACACTGTCAAAAATAGCAGGAACATACCCGGCATCATTCCACGTCAACCGGCCATCCAAGCCCGGGTATGCATCTGCATTCATCCATCCACCCGGTCCGAAGCAAGGGTAACCCAACTATCCAACCTTGTTGCGCTGCGGAGAATGCGTCAACGTAGATAGCCTCCGCTTGAGCAGACGGTGTTGATCGAACGAGCTGGAGTATTCCTCCAGTGCATGACGGGACGGCGCATCCAGGGGCACATCTTCCATGCCTGGCGGGATCCCCTGGGCGTGATGGCAACATGGCAGCGATTGATAGCTTGGCTGCTTGGAGGACGACGGTTCCTCAGAGTCGTAGTCGTGCTGTGGCTCGGGGACCCAGCGCGCGTCGGCTCTGGTGCAGTCTGATGGAGAGAACAGGCCGCAGGTGGTTAGATCGGAGACGTAGGGTGTGGCGTGGCAGAGGCTGAGAGTGTTAGGGCTGGAGGCTAGAGGGAGGGTGACCAGCCCTTGGGGACGCCCAATCAGATCGAGGGGCTTTTCGAGGGAGTATGGCATTTTTGAGTGAATTTGCAGGGAAGATGGTTTGGTTTCGTTTGGTTGTATGGGGTGTTGGATAAGCGCTACTTCATATATTTGTCTTGGAAGTGATTCTATCCATCGCCACTGAACCCCACATATACGAATCGAATCGTCTACGAGATGCGGACGCGGGGATAAGCCAAGGCGAGGCATTTCAAAGCAGACCGTCGATGAGACAATGTCTAACAAAGGTCCCCGGCATCACGATCCCGGCTGATTCGCAATGTCAAAGGAGCGAGGTATGGTACCGAGCAGTCGCCCCGTGGGTGCCTTCGTTTCTTTGTGCTGAGACGGGGGTGACTTCGTACACCTCCTCGGGAACAACCGACTGTGCACCGGCAGTTCTAGATCCCCAGCCCCCCCGAGATTTCTCCACCGGCCGTTGTCTGACATGACAGGAGAAGCATCGAAGGGATCGAACGGAATTCCGTATTCCGGGCCCCAAGGGGCGACTGTGTTCGGTGGCCAGCCAGCATTGCAGTCGCATGGGAACGGCGGGCGCTGATTGGGCGGCTGACATTTCCGGCCACCCAGGACGGGCTCTGGTTGGCCAGCAAGCTTTTGCCTTGCGTCACCCTCATTTTTCCGGCTCGCAAACCCCGAATAGAGGGCTCGAATCCCAGGCGAGATGTTACCCAAGGGTGAACTGCAACCCTGAGACACGGGTTGGTCGGGTATGGTGGCTGTCGGCTGTCATGTTCTCCTTCCCCATCTCGGTAACTCGGTTGCCCCGAGCGGCTGGGCCACTGTAACTCTCCACTCTGCTCCCTGGCACCATGTTCCCCCCCCCCTGCAACCGGGGAGCTCTCCCCAAACCGAACCGTTCTTGCATCTGGCTGGCCAATGAGATGCGCAACGGCCCGTGTTTCGTGATGATAACACTCGATGGCATGGCGGACGGCTTATCTCCCCCGGGGATTTATATCATCACGATGCAACACCTACCTGGACCCGGTACCGGAGAGCTGGCACGAGAGAGCTGCAACCTTCCTGACCCTTCCTCTGTCGGACTTGTTGTAGGCTCCAACGCCAGCTGTGATGCGTGCCACTCAATCGCTGAAATTTCAACGAGACGACCCCTGAGAATCTCCTCCCCATTTCGGTTGCCATTCTCCCCTCTGTTTGAAAATCTGCCTCAACCTTTCGCTTTGACCGCTCAGTTCCATCTTCAGCAATGGCTCGGACGTGGCAACCCGGCCATGACGACCTCATGCTTGATGAGGAGGCAAAGGTCAACGTTGACTACCTCGCCCATTCCTGGACGCACGAGGAGATGTGGGCCACCAGAAAGCACATCCGCAAGATCAAGCACGGCAACATCGTCCGAAGTCGGTTTGAAAACGCCCTGTGGAGAGCGTGGCCGGCGTCCAGCCCACGGCCTCGGCGTCTGCCAGCCGAATTCCTGGCCTGGTTCGTATTATCCACGTCCAGCTTCCAACACCCGTGCACACATTGACGGTGACCAGGGACAAGGACAGCGACATCACCTGGCTCTACGGCCCATTGAAATCCGACAAGAGCCCCAACACAGCAGACAAGACGTCAAACTCAATCAAACCTCGCCAAGAGCCAAAGAAATCGTCTCTCAAGCGAAAGCCCAGCATCTGGGAGGTATCCGACGCCGCCACACCAGCCCCGTCCCCCTCAACCGGCAAGTCCCTTCTCGGCCGATTCTGGAACATCACCATCCAAACAGTCCCAGGCGTGAGTACTTCCACATCCACATCCACCCCCCCTTCTTCTCCTTATCCTCCACACTAACTCAGCCCCCACAACCAGATCATCCTCAGCTCCCCACAACCCTGGCCCCAGCGCAAGAAATGCCGCGTCCACTTCGAAGAGCAGGTCCAGCGGTGCCAATACAGTAACACCAGCGCCCTATCCCACAGCCTCCCTTATTTCTTGGAGAATTCTGCTGCGTACGCAGACGCAGGACAGAACTGGCAGACTATCGAGCCGCTGCCCTCGACCTTCCTGTCGGGCTTTGAGATGTTCGAGCCAGCCGGCTCGGGGCATTGCCACTCGTTCTTCAATTTTCTCGAGGAGCTGGAGTATGTTTTCTCCGTGTTTGTGCTTTGGCCGTCGCCGAGAGCGAGGGTTTTGCTTGCGTCATCGTCTTAGATGTTGAAGTCTGAGCTGATTTTGGGTGTTTTATAGTCAGTCGATTTGAGGTGGAAGGGGTGGAGATGGGGAGATATGGGTAAGGGAAGAGGTTGGGAAGGGGGAAGGGGGGGGGGGGGTTGTGCTAGATGTTGAGTGATATGAGTCAGAGTGGATAGAGAAGGAAAGGATGGGGGGCAAGGAGAGGGCGTAATTTCTATCTTTCCTATGTCTATATACGGATAGTGATGGGGAAATGATCTGTTGGTAGAGGGCAAGTATGCGTTTGATTCCCTGGATAGGACTGGAAGTGCCTTCTTCCGGCGCCTATCACCGGTGTATTAGATTGACGGGAGGTTTGGGGTCTGGATAAACAGGAAAAGAGACGTAGACCATCGTCAGATACGTTAATACCTAAAACTCTTGAAAGGCTTGAATATGTGGCGAATTTTATTTGTAATTAGTAAAGCCAGCCGCTGGGGACTAATGCGAATGACGAAGTTATATGGTTCATCAAGAAAACCAAGTAATAAGGGAGTAGGAAGCCAGAAAGGCCAGAGGCAAAGCTGGAAGTGGGTAGTGTGAGCAATAGGGCTATACGATCAGGGAAGATAGGATGTAGGCTTAAAGTCCACAGAGTGTGGGACAGGGGATGTGTAGTATAGAGAGGTCGATATGATGCGAGAGGTGACTCCTCTCGAGGACACAGGAAGGCAGTGAGTTGGAGACCAACAGCTCGATATTTATTCACCGATCCTTCCTATAGAAGATCCAATGAAAGGATGGATGGGGAAGGTAGAGAATCTTCATCGGGCGCTTCGAGGTCTTTATTATTGGGGACTTCATTGGCAGGACAGCTGGACATGAGCCGTCTGGTTGTTTCGTGGTTCATTGGACACTATAGTGGGTTTGATGAAGCTTTATCTGTACAAAAGCCAGATAGATGGTTAGAATCCATCACCTTTCCCCATTTGGGGAGGGCTTATCTACCCGGCGACCCGATCGGCGCATCCGCACTGATCGACCTGCATCCTTCTTCGTAGATAAGAACATGCCCTTGTCGCCAGGGACCCGTTTGCCTGAACGGGCTGGACTGTCGATGGTCCAACACCCGCAGGGTTGGTTTATAGTCCTTTCTTCCCACGCTGCGTGTTCCTCATCCCCACCCAATTTCTGTTTGCCTTCACAAAAACAAACTAGCTTTTCCTGTCAAATATAATACGAGTCCAAGGGATGTCTTCTCCTAGAAGCAAAGCCAGTCCAGCGAATAGACAGACACGCAGGTTTCGCACTGGCTGCAAGACATGCAAAGCACGACGCGTAAGTTAGCCACCACTCTCCGTCACCCCATCCATCCACCTTTACCTCATGATTTCCACCTCGATGCTTCGCAAAAAAAAAAAAAGCATAGAGGGCAAGCTCATCCGGGAATTAGATACAATGCGACGAAACGAGACCCGAATGCACAGCCTGTGTCAGCAAGGGGCGCTCCTGCCCGGGGTACACGCGCGACTTCAAGTGGTCGACAAAGCATGAGGTTTCGGCCAGACATGATGGTCGGAGAGATCGGGGCTCGAGTCAGCCCGGTGTTGCGCCTTTTGCGCAGACATATCGGACTTCTACTATACCGGGGGGTGAGTCGGAGGTACGCGTCGGGGATGGGGAGACAAGGGAGGATGAGGGAAATGATGCGATCGTGGACGCGTCAAGACGACAACAATCTCCTCGCCAACATTCGCCTGCCTTGGTGAATGGCTCAACACCGAAGGAGACACGGACTATCGGCAGTCCGAAGGATTGGACAGAGTTGTGCGACCAGTTCGATCTGGAGGGTCTCGACTGGCTTACGGACAATGCATTTGAGGGACAGGACCAGATGGAGGATGATGGAGATGAACACCTTCTCGCTCAGGAGCAGACACCGGTCGAATGCAGTACCCGACAGGACACAGTTCAACCAGCTCTGGACCTGGACTCCTTCAAGGCATCCCACGTCGACCCACAAAGCCTCCAATTGGCCCTGCTCGAAAGAAGGGCTACCGAGTTACAACGGCGACTCGACTCGCGCATCTCCCCCCAGCTCACCGACTTCCCAACCTTCCTCATAGAATACTGGTTCAAGAACATCTGCTGCATATGGTCTGGCTTCGACTCCGACCGAAACCTCAATCGCAATTTGGCAATGAGTACATGGACAAATCAGAAGTCAGTATTCCACTGTCTCCAAGCCATGTCAGCCTTCCACCTGGCGGAGCAACTGCCCCATCTAGGCGACACGGCCATGACGTCGTGGAAGTCTGCTGTCCAGGCCATACATGAGGATCTCGCGTCGGTTACTACGACCAGCCCGACGCGACTTCCGACCGGCCTGTTACTGTCATTAAGTGGAATCGGGACAACGACCTGCTGGACTGACAGTCAGCAACTAGGGCTTCCCTTGCTGAAGAAAATGAAAACACTCCTAGCGCACTACAACCGATCTGCTGCGCTGATGTCTAGCTCAGATAGGTTATATTTGGAATTCTTCAACGATAGCTGCATTTACTGGGATATATTGTGCAAGGTAGTCACGGATGATGCTAGTCCGATCGGACCGTCACCGGCATTATCGCCCAGCAGTTCGAGCATGCCCGAAACCGCTCCACCGCATCCGTGGGTTGGTGTTTCGAGGAATATCCTGGAGCTGTTTGCGAACTCGATCCTGCTGTGTAAGAGATACTGCAAGAGACTGAGGAGCTCGGATTTCAAGTCCGCGACTGTCCATTCCCTGCGTGACATGATCGATGGTGTCCACGAGGCAAGATCGCTCAGGAAAACTCTTATCGGATTGAAACAGTCCACCGGTAGCCAGCTTGCTGAGACGGGAGACAAGTTAACCCCTCTCTCCCATCTGGTCGATGTGGCAGAGGGGTACCGCTTAGCGGCATTGCTGCAGCTCTACCAGACCTTCAAGGACCTGGAGGACGAGTACGTCTCCGAGAGGGATGGAAGTCCCGACGAAACTTGGATTCAGGGCCTCGCACTTGAGTTATTGGACTTGATGAAACGCATCCCGCTGGAGTCGGGGTCTCGTTGCATACAGCCACTCCTGTATCTGTCTATTGCGACGGGATTGAGGTCTTGTCCGCCTGTTCCTGTGGATGTTCCTCATATCGCAGATGGAACGGAGTGTTTAGAGCGACATGCCTTACAAGGGAATGTGACCGCTCTGTCAGATATTCTGGGACAGTCTGATCTGCAAAGGAGCAATGTGTCGAGCATGAAGTTGACCAGGATGTCGGTCAACATTGGACAGGCTCGTCGGATCATTATGCAGAGAGTCAGTGTTTTGGAGTATAGTCTTCCTACTAAGCCAATTACTGTATTGAAAGCATTGATGAAGAGGATCTGGGATGTTTGGGATGCGGAGATGTGTGGTGGCCGGACCGTGAGGAGTAAGCATTGGATTGAGGTCATGGAGGAGAGTCGGTTACATACTATGTTCGGGTGAGAGTGGAGAAGATATGGAAGTCGGGATTTGCGTATCTACCAGTCTGATAATTGATTCAAACAAAATCTTCACATAGGACCCGTTTCCACCATACCAGTCTGCACTCTGCAGAACTGACCTGCGCAGACATCCGACACCTTCTCTTTCCAAGTATCTTATGATATTCATTCCTCTTTCGGCATATCCAACCCGACCCGCCAGGCTAGCCCGATGAGGAGAAAACTCGGGTATCCTATCGTATCTTCGTTCCTATCTCCTAGCGTATCTCCGGCCCCCGACGATGACGCAATTTGACAACATCGATGGGTGATCGATGATATGATATGTGAAGATCGTGCACGATTTGTCAATTCAGTATTTCTTAAACTTTAACCCCCATCCCGAAATCACCATCACGACGCCTTCGCCAAAGCCTCCTGCCGCCCCGTACTCTTCGGGTCCAGATAGGGCCTCTCCCCCAGCCCAACAGCCCGCTGCCCCGTCCTCGCACCCAAACCCGCATAATCCAGCGTCGCAGCATGATACACGCTGCGGTTATCCCAGATCGCTACCCACCATTAGCCAACGCCCTTTCCTTCCCCAAAAACACTTCGCGGAAAACACTTACCCAGATCATTCGGATCCTGCCACCTGAACCTGACCTGCAAATCATGATTCTCAACAATCAACTTGACAAACCAGTCCAGCAACGCCCGGCTCTCCTCCTCCGCCAGCCCATCAATCTTCTGAACATGATGTCCGACGGCAAAAACACTCTTCCACCCCGTCACCGGATTGGTGCGGATAACCGGGTGCGTGGCCTTCAGCTCCTCGCCCACGTTCTCGGGTGCACCACGGGGGCCAACGAAGATATCGAAATTGTGCTTTCTGGCGGCGTCGTTGAAGCCCGGCTGCGCGTAGGTCGCTGTGAGACTTTCGAGGAATTTCTGATATGGGGCTGAGATCCGATCGTAGAGTTCGTAGCCGGAGGCCCAGAGGGTGTCTGTCCATGACACGATCATTAGCAATGGTGTCCCTTAGAAAGAGGGGGGGGAGACTGACCACCACCCGTCTTCGGTAACTCCGTCAGTCGCAGAATAGTATAATCACTCGGAATCGGCTCAAAGGTAATATCACTATGCCACTCGCGCCGCTGCGACTGCTTCTTCTCGAACCCGCTGAACAGCTTCTCTCGCTGCACGGAGCTGATCACGCTGATCTCGTCGTCTCTGGCACCTTCCTCCCGTCTGGAGTTGATCACGGGATGCACGTGCAGGCCAGACGTCGCTGGCTTTCCCGAGAGCTGGCCCAGTCGCTGGACTAGTTCTTTTTGGAGCTCGTTGTCGAGGTCGTCTTGTTTGCGGAAGAAGACGACGCCGCGTTGGGATACTGGGGGGGGGGTGTTAGTTGGGTTTTGGTGGAGTGGGGGAAGGGTAGGGTTGAGGGGAATCTACTGGTGAGGGCAAGCTCGCGCAGCAGGTCATCGGAGTTGGGCGCCCGGAGCCATTCTTTGAGGTTTCCGGTGGTGAATTCCCGTCCGATAATGGGCGTCACGTCGAAGGAGGTGTAGCTGTCTAGTGCGCCTGTGGATTTGAGGGGTTCTCGGTCGAGGGTCTTGGTGGGGAGGGGGACCACAATCTCGGAGGAGTTCTCGGTGAGGGATGGTGCCATTTTGGTATGAAGAGATGTAGGGGGATCGTGAGGGGTGGAATGGAAGGGTTGATGTTGTATGAGGATGGTTGTGGGAGTGAGGGTAGGGCGATATTTATAACCCTCCTCCTCTGCATCTAACGATGGCGATACCATTCGAAACCCCGCATGCGAGTCTGTTATCGCGACTCAGTCACCTCTTCGGGAAGTATTGGTTTTGAACTTGTGAGATCCCATAGGTTGTGGCATGGATGGCTTAGGCGTAATTGAGTCTCCGGATAATGCCATATTTCGCCATCGTGTCGCTCGGCAGTCGGGTAGGGGTAGCAGGGGTGATGAGGTTAGATCGCAAGGTGGTCACGTCAGGTATAGATAAGGCAGGTGGTAAATGTCGCAGACTACTTTGACAAAGAGGGGTAGGTAGGCTATACAATTGCATATATGCATGAGTAATGGTGTGCTAGACAGCGACTAGGTATCTGGCGTCTGGCAGATGCGGATGGATTGTTCTGGGCCTCTGTTAGGGTCCCTGGACCGACCATTCGTGCCAATCTTCGGGGTAAATAATTGATATGTGCCTGGATACGATGTTTAATAAATCTAACTGGATGTTTGACTTATGTTTGGTTAAACAATGCATATTTCAAACTGGGTTTAGGTGAGATGGAAACATTGCGATACAGCTCATATCTCATCTGGTTGTTGGATCATGAACAAGGAACTCGGGGTTTTTTTCCAGGGGCTGCACAGAGACTGTAGCTACATCTCTACAATAAATAAAATATCAGTTGACAGTACGACCAATAGACCATTTTATCTTCTCCTTGGTGAGCTGGAAAGGCCGTCCAAAATGTGGGGGATGTGGTGAATATATGTACCCGAGACGAGGTGGGAACATTCCCCACGGAAAAAAAAGAAAACAGTAAAGGAAAAAAAAAAAAAAAAGAATCAAGGGTATTAAATAGTCCCACAGACCGACACTGTTCGTAGGAGAGAATGTTGGGAGTTGATATTTTATGCCTTCTTTTCCCTCGGTACCAGAGGCGAGAAACAATAGCCACTAGCCACATTGGACACCGCACAGACGATTCTAGACTGGCAGGCATAACACAACACATATAGACGAGGATGATGCTCAGCAATTGTCTAAGCTTCAGTCTAAGCTGCAGGATGAATCAAGTCACTGTAAAGATATATGCATCTACAGCGAGAAACTAATATGCTGTGTAACTGGAATCTTCGCAGTCGGACAAGGGCACCATCGCAGCCCTAAAGCGCCATTGGGGTATAGCGCAGTGTCCACAATCTCAATTGTGAATCAGCATCCACTTGCAATTCAACCGGGCCACTACGACACACAAACCCGGATATATTCAACACGAGGGCTGGACTTTGCTTTTGATGGACTCCGTCAGCTGCGAAACTCTGGGGTAACACCCATGACGTCACGCGGCACCAAAGGACCCCCCCCATCGACCATCTTACATCCGCCGACCTCCGTCCAACTCCCCATCACCATCATCCAGCCCACCATGCAAGTCACTCCGGAATACTGCGGTCTCGAGGACTATGGCCTGGTCGGGGACATGCACACCTGTGCGCTGGTCAGCAAGAATGGCAGCGTCGACTCCATGTGCTGGCCCGTCTTCGACTCGCCTTCCATCTTCTGCCGCATCCTGGACAAGCAGAAAGGCGGACATTTCTCCATCACCCCGCACAACAATATCAAGAGTCCCTTGAGTAAGCAGCGCTATCGACCCTACACTAACATGCTGGAAACCCGCTGGATCCATGAGGCCGGCGTGGTGAACATCTTGGATTACTTCCCCGTCGAGAAGGCCAAGCCGCTGGGTGTCGAGAGTAGATTGCCCGAGTGGTGTCGCTGCAAGCAGAAGAAACATCCCGATCACCACCGGGAATGTCATTCTGGGCTGGTTCGCAAGGCGGAGTGTGTCCGCGGCCAGATGGACGTTGATATCGAGCTTTTCCCGGCGTTTAACTATGCGAGGGATTCGCACACCGCTTGCCGGCTGAACAGGACGGTGGGAGATGGCTATCAGACATTTCAGTTCAAGTCTGAGTCGCAGACCCTCCAGCTTAGTATCCTGGAAGATCAGGGGGATCTTGACCAACCTGGCACTGAACTCCGGGCGAAATTCGAATTATGCGAGAGTTCCGGGCACCTGGGTCCGGGTCTGGTGGGCAAGGTCACTCTGAACGAAGGCCAGTCCATCACCATGCTCCTGCACGACCAGGAGAATATTGCGTCTGACGCACAGGTGCTCGCTCCGTATCTGCAGCAGATCGAGCGAATTTCCGGTGATTTCTGGACCGACTGGACCAGCCAATGCACCTTCCGCGGGCACTATCGCGAGCAAGTGGAACGCAGCCTCCTTGTCCTGAAGCTGTTAACCTACAAGCCGACAGGGGCCATTGTTGCAGCACCCACTTTCTCTCTCCCCGAGCATATCGGGGGTAGTCGGAACTGGGATTATCGCTACTCATGGGTCCGCGATGCCGCATTCACGATCTACGTGTTCTTGAAAAACGGCTACCCCGAGGAAGCCGAGTCGTACGTCAACTTCATCTTCGAACGCATCTTCCCGCCTTTGAATCAGATCCCCAAGACCGGGGATCCGTTCCTACCCATCATGGTCACCATTCATGGCGAGCGGGACATCCCCGAGATCGAACTCGACCATCTCGAGGGCTATCGCGGTAGCCGACCAGTCCGCATCGGCAACGGTGCTGCCACACATACCCAGCTCGACATCTACGGAGAGCTGATGGACAGCATCTACCTGTACAACAAGCACGCAGCAGCCATTTCATACGAACAGTGGCGCGCCATCCGCCGCATGATGGACTTCGTCATCCAGGTCCGCCACCACAAGGACCAATCGATCTGGGAAGTCCGCGGACCGCCCCAGAACTTCGTCTACTCCAAGATCATGCTCTGGGTGGCTCTAGACCGCGGTGTCCGACTCGCCGAGAAGCGCTCCAACCTCCCCTGCCCGTCCCGGGAAACATGGGTGCGCGAGCGCGACGACCTCTACGACGAGATCATGGAGCACGGGTATAACGCCGAGAAGGGGTTCTTCTGCATGAGCTACGAGAACAAAGATGCCTTCGACGCGGCAGTGCTGATTGCCCCACTGGTGTTTTTCATTGCGCCGAATGATCCGAGGCTGCTGAGTACGATTCAGAAGATCATGGAGCCGCCGGGTAAAGGCGGGCTGAACGTGGCCAACATGGTCTCCCGATATGATACGAGTAAGGTGGACGATGGTTAGTGGGAGTCTTTTCCATCTGTTCGTGACGCTACCAATAACGTTTCTGACAGCCGTTCTAGGTGTGGGTGGTGATGAGGGCGCGTTCCTCATGGTGACCTTTTGGCTTGTTGAAGCTATGATGCGTGTATGTGTCCCCATCTTTACTTCGAAACTGGATATTGGTATGCTAATGATGAAATGCAGGCATCCCGGTCGAAGGCATATCTCCCCCACGACCCCTTCTTCCAGCAGCTGCGCAAGACAGCCACGTCAAACTTCGACAGCGCCCTTTCCTTTGCCAATCACCTGGGCATGTTCTCGGAGGAGGTTGCCTCGTCCGGGGAGCAGATCGGAAATATGCCCCAGGCTTTTAGCCATCTTGCCTGTGTCAGTGCGGCGATGAATCTGGGGGGAGATCGCTGAGATGGCGGGCTCGGACCCTGTTGTGGGGTTATATTTCGTGGCGTTGGTATGGGGTGCTTGGCTATTGTTATCTTGCTTGGTTGAACAGGGTATGCAACCAGTGAATATAGCTGAATATGGAATAGGGTGCTAGAATCAATGGACAAACCTTCTGCTCAAGGATCACTCCTCCATAAAATGACCCCGAATATAGGACGAACTTGATAGTCGTGGCGTAATCCTGTTGATTTCGGTGTATTATCCATACCCTATTACTACAAAATCAATCAAGGTCTTAGAGTACCAACACTCCATCTCGAATCAACATCAGACCATGTGAAAGTTATTGGCAGGACTATAAAGAGCCCTCTTGGATAAACAATACGCCAGTGTCAATGGCCAATAAAAAAAACACAACAAAATACTACACTATCCCCCACCCCCCCCTTCTGACCTTCCGCCTCTGCTCCCCTATATCTTGATATTCAGCCCCCTCAACAACCACGGATCCATCAACAGATCCGTCGCCGTGGGTCGATCCTCCGGGTTCCATCGCAACGCCATCCGCAACCACCCCAGAAACCCTTCTACATCCTCGCCCTGGATCCCCTCAGCCAACTTCTCCAGACTTCGATCAGGGATCGGAACCAGATTTTTCCAATTTCCTTGCTCGTCCCAGAAGACGCGGGCCAGAGGAGTCCGTTTGACGAATTCCGGGGGCGGCGGGCCGAGTAGGGCAACTAGTTCTGCGATGTGCGCGCCGTCGTCGAAGATGCCGTCTATCGTGGAGCCTTGGATGAGGGTGCGCGGGCTGACAATATCCCATGCCTGGCGAAGTCAATCAGCCATAGTCATTAGAAAGATAAGATAGAAGTTTGGGGACATGTCACATACAACCATACCAACGCTCCAGACATCCACCTTATAGTCCCAGCTGGACTTCAGAATGACCCCCGGAGCACGATAATAATCCGGCATGATGGACTCGTCATGATATTCGTCGCCATATCGGGCTTCTCCGAAGTCACTTAGCCGGGGAAGCCCGTCTCCGGCTGGGAAAAGTATTGTGGTGTAGATTATTCGGTCAGTGAGGACTTTTCTTGCTGAGGGAGTGTTCAGCTCGCGTTCCTCAAAGGCGGAAAGGGCAGCAGGGGAAGGTGCTGGGAGGAGAAGATTTCGGAGTTGGACGTCTGATAAGATGTTAGTCCTATGGTCATAGTTTTTGCGCGGGATCGGCGGGAGAGGGGAGGGGGAATGACTACCGGTATGTATAACCCCAGCGACAGAATGGAGAAAATCCAAAGTCCCCAAAAGTTTCCGGATAGCGGGTTTCATGTTCTTCACAGACATCGTCCGCCCGGGCGTGAGGCGCAAGAGATCGGTGACATTCAACCCCAGAGGCTCATGGACTAGACAAACATGCCGGCCATGCGGACCGTCCACGTAAAAATGAGCGAGGAGTTTTCGGATGAATTCCTTGCCTGGATGATCGGTCTCAAAGGAATTAAGATGATTGTACGTATTCAACTCATGGTCTCTGTTTTGGCCCCGAACGTAAATTTTCAGGACGACGTGAGTGGACTTGCTGCCATCTCGGATTAGAATTCGCTGGAGGTCTGAGAAGGATTGACCTACGCTAGGTCTCGGGCGAGCGAGACGGTGGAGGTGACTCCGTAACCGAGCTTTGCGATGGTTTGATATCTTTCGTTGAGAATCTCTCCTTGTCGCACAGGGTAGTAGTTCTCTGCGGAATAGGTAGGCAATGTTTCCTCCTCGATCTTGGAGGAATTGTCGAGGAGTTCGAAGCCAGTGGTGGGAAAGGCTCGGGGCTGGGACGTCCAGTTGGACGAGGGGATGGAGGTGGGCCTGGATATTGATATGGACATGACCGCCGTTTTCGAGAGGGGGGCACTTCTCTGGAATGCTAGGGGTCGAGCTGGGAGGAATAAAGGGAGACACCTCACGGACATGCGCCCTCGGATGGCTCGATGCATGATGACAGTTATGAGCCAGTGGCGGAGGTCATTCGATCAGGCCACCCGAAGAAATCATCAAGTGATCGGCTCCAGCGGCTAGAGAAGCGAAACGCTCGAGATGCAGGGAGGTTTTCGAAGAACGGAGACGGTAGAGATCCACCCGGGCGGCTGGGGCGGGCGGGCACTATACCCCTTGTGGGATGCCGCCGTCCATTCCCCGGCCTCGGCTAACTCTATTTTAATAGATTTCTACCTATAATCTATATATTATCAAGACACTATTTAAATAATGTAAAAAAGTTATAATTTTTAAATTTCTGTTTTCAGTATTAATATCTAATAGCCCGCGATACTTTGCCTGCGCGATGAATCAGATCAGGGAAATAATCCTAATCTTGGCTGGGGTGAGTTAATTGCAATTATGGCATGCTGTCATCGAAGAGCTTACAAGTCACAGATTTAGCTGCAGCAAGTCCATCCTCCCCGCGCCAAACCAATAGATGGATACTTGAGAGTTGAATTTGCCCTGACAGTCACTGTGTGGTCAATCCTAGCTTCATGCATCTTTCCTCCTCTCCCTCTCCAGTCTCACAGTCGTCAGACATCCCCGCGCCCAGTACCCACGGCCCCCCTTCAATAACCACGGATCATTCAAAAGGCCTTGAGCGGTTGGGCGGTCTTGTGGAATCCATCGCAACGCCGATCGCAACCATCTCAAGAATCCCTCTACATCATCTCTCTCTCCCTGGATGCCAGCAGCCAATTCCTCCATAATTCGGGCCGGGATTGGGGCCAGATTCCTCCACCGGCCGTTTTCATCCCAGAATTCCCGACTCGCTTTCCATTTGAGAAGAGTTGGTGGAGGCGGACCAAGCAGGGCGATCAGCTCTGCTATGTGGGCGACGTTGTTGGATATTCCATCTTTCGTTGGAGCTTGGATGAGAGGTTGAGGACTGACCATGTCCCAGGCCTGTTGGGATAGATCAGCACTTGCTAGGAAGGGGGGGGGGGGGGGGGGATTGGTTCCATACCGTCATGGCAACGCTCCAGATATCCAGCTTCATGCCCCATTCCGAGTTCAACAGGACTTCGGGCGCACGGTAGTGGTCGGGCATGGCGATAGGCTCGTCATAATCTCTTCTCATCGATCGGGCTTGACCAAGCCCAATGAGCTGGGGGAGACCGTCTCCGGCTGGGAAACGCGATGTGGTGTAGATTGTTCGGCCTCGGGCGACTTTCCTTGGTGCGGGGGAGCTGAGCTCACGCTGTTCAAACGCGGATAGTGCATCTGCGGATGGGGCTGGCAGAAGGAGGTTTTTCGGTTGGATATCTTCTCCAGGTTAGTTCCTTCGGCGCGGGCTTATAATAATTGAGATTGGATTGAGGTAAAGGGAGGGAGGTATAAGGGGTAAGTAAGTACCGGTGTGAACAATTCCGGCTTCCGAATGGAGAAAGTCCAGGGTGTGGAGAAGTTTGCGGATGACGGGTTTCATGGCGTCCAGGGTCATGGTACGTCCTCCTCCGGGCATGAGTTGCAGGAGCTCCGCTAGGTTCATCCCTAGCGGTTCAAGGACCAGACAGAGATGATGGCCATGTTTGCCCTTGATATGCCCATGGTGGATGGGCCTGCGAATGAATTCTCTGGCGCAGTGGTTGGTCTAGATGGAATTGAGATAATTATAGGCATTCAACTCGTGCTCCTTTTGTTTTCCCCGGAGGAAGATCTTCAGCACGACGTGCCTGGACTTGCTGGTTGGTCGCAAGTGGGCAGTCAGAAATCATGGTTGAATAGGGCATGGATGGGGTCAGTCATTCAGTACATACAGCAAGTCTCGGGCAAACCAGACGGTGGCATCTCGGCCGTAGCCTAGCTTGGCGAGCGGCTGGTACCGGTTGAGGAGAATCTGGCCGAGCCGGACGGTATAGGCCTTCTTCCGCGTGTACGTCGGCAGGGTTTCCTCCTCGATCCTGGCGGATCGGTCGAGGAGTTCAAATTCGGATGGAAGCTCGCGTGGAACGTCCGTCCATAGGGATTTCTGGGCCTTTCTGGCCGACTTGCGCGGGGGGCGGATGGGGGTTACGGGCGAACTCCATTCGGGGGGGACGGATTTTGGGAAGGAAGACCGCGACTGGTTGACCAATACCTTTCGAAGGGTGGGGAGCATGGTGGGATGGTGGGATGGGATGGAGGATTGGCGAGGGGGATGCCAGCCAGCCAGATACTTACTTACGGTCGGTCCACACTGGGTTGGTGAAACTGGAAGGAAGGTGGGTGAAACTTGTGTGCTGACTGCTGACTGGCGCACATCCGCCCGTTTCTGTGGTCCTGCGGGCACGGCCGATCGATCCCCTCCGGCGAAACTCCGCAAACTACGGCAAAAGTCCGGACTCACGGTATAAACTATAAGTATATAAACCACTGCTCTGAAAAGCAATGAAGCTCACACAATATCCATAATCCCCAATTCTTTCTAAAGGCTATCATTCCCACCATCCAACCCTTCTCCCCAAACCACCAGAACGGAAAAAAAAAAAAAAAAAAAAAACCCTCCCCACCCACCCAAAATGCCCTCCTCCCTCCCCCCCTCCCCACAATCCTCAACACCCACGACCTCGAAACCCTCGCCTCCCAACACCTCCCCCCCAAGACATGGGCCTTCTACTCCTCTGCAGCAACAGACATGATCACCCGCGACAGCAACAAATCCATGTACGACCGCATCCTCCTCCGTCCGCGCGTCCTCCGCAACGTGACATCCGTGAACACGAAGACCACCATCCTGGGATGCGAGACCGGACTCCCCCTGTTTATTAGTCCCGCCGCGATGGCCAAATTAGTTCATGAGGATGGCGAGTTGGCGATGGCGAGGGGGTGTGTGGGGGGGCGGTTGGGGCAGTGCGTGAGTTTGTTTATTATATTCTTTCTCTTCTTATTGCTCTCTGCTTCATATTGTTCATATTGTTCATAGTGACAGTGCTGACTGGGGCTGGGTGGCAGATCTCAACAAACGCCTCCTATTCCATGTCCGACATCACGAAATGCGCCCCCCCAACCCACCCATTCTTCTTCCAGCTATACGTCAACACAGACCGGGCCGCATCGAGACAGCTGCTCCGACAGGCAGAAGAATCCGGGATAAAAGCTATTTTCGTGACGGTTGACGCGCCCGTCGCGGGGAAGCGGGAGGCGGATGAGCGGGTGGAAGCCGATGATTCGATTCTCTCCATGCCGTTGCCTATGAGTGGCGCGCAGGCGATCAATGACACCAAGGGATCCGGGCTGGGAAGGACGATGGGACGGTATATCGATGCCAGCTTTCAATGGCAGGATCTGGCGTGGTTGAGACAAGCCACGAAGTTGCCGATTGTGTTGAAGGGGATACAGACGCCGGAGGATGCGCTCCTGGCGGTTGAGTATGGGGTGGATGGGATTGTGGTTAGTAACCATGGCGGACGGAGTTTGGATACGTGAGTGTTTTATTTTTATTTATTTTATTTTTTTTTAAAAGTTTTTTTGGCGGGTTGATGGGAAGGAAGGAAGGGAAGTCAAGCTGATGTGATGATGGGTGGGTTTAGGTCGACGTCTTCGATTGCGGTCTTGATGGAGATTCGCAAGTGTTGTCCGGAGGTCTTTGACAAGTTGGAGGTCTTTGTGGATGGGGGCATCCGGCGTGGGACGGACATCGTCAAGGCGATTTGTCTGGGAGCCAAGGCGGTTGGGATGGGTCGGCACTTTTTGTATAGTCTGTTGTATGGGCAGGAGGGGGTGGAGAGGTTGATTGAGAGTATGTATATATGCTCACCCTTTTTTGGGAGAAGATGCTGACAGAAGTAGTCATGAAGGATGAGCTGGAGACTACGATGCGGCTGCTGGGGATTACGGACCTCTCTCAGGCGCATCCGGGGTTGCTGAACACGTTGGATGTGGATCATTCGATTCCGAACAGACTGGGAGGGTCGTATAGTGGGCCTGTCATGAAGGCGAGATTGTAATAGGTAGGGGGTTTCACATTTTCAAAAGTGTAGTAGTTGAGGAGAAATATGTACCATAATAGATGATACAACCTCATTGAGACCACATTTCAAAACTGTCCTCCGCCATCTGACCCAGTAACGTCTCATCCAGGCCAAAGCCGAAGGTCCCGCCGAGGTTGTGGAGGTTATACTCGCCTGTCCAAACAGCATTCTCACCAGAAACCTCTTGGTTCGTGGCAGGGGGCGAGTGAGAGGTCAACAGTGGATTGCAGAGGCGTGTCCTGACAAGCAAATCACGATACTTCACTAACATTCCGTCCAGGCCATCCGCAATGTGTTCTGCAAGGTGCTTGGCATTGAGCTGTGTCGCATAAATGCTCAGTTTCAAAGTCAATGACTCGACAAGACGCACATTATCAACATCAGGGATATTTAGACCCTTTTCCTTTGCAAGCCCCCGAGTCACGTCTCGTCCCCAGGTCGCAGTGATCTTCAGAAGAAACGTTGCGCAAAATGCTACCATGGTGAAGGTGAATATGGGTACATTGCAAAAGACACGGCCACGGTCCGGGCCGTCCCCGAAAGCCCTCAAGGTATCTGCTGCGGCCGAGAGGGCGCAATTGGCGGCTTGAATGTGTGCGGGGGAGAGCGCATCCATGCTGGCAGCATCTATTCCGAGATAGGAAACGCTGCAAAGGGCTAGTGAGTTAAGCTGGAATCGCGCAAAGTGAGAGTATAAATCCAGAGCTTTCGAAGGATATGTTCCCAGAAACGGGCAATCGCTTGAACGAGGCACCCATTCAAGTTGCCACTCTTCGACTGCCCTGTTGAATGCATGCAGTTTATTCATGTCCTCATCATCTAGGACCCGATTGGGATCACTGCCGAATTTCATGTAGGCCTCGGTCAAGATACGGAACAAATCAACCTGGGCCGCTAGTCTTACATCGCCTGGGCAGGTCTGGTCCAGCTGCAGGAATTGTCTAATATTCCGGACCGACTCATCGTCCACGGCTGCGGGGGGCCTGCCATGCGCGATGCTAAACTGGTGATCGCATACATATGTTGCATACCACACACGCACATGCTCCATCCTGGTAGGATCTCCTTGCATGAGCTGGTGGAAAGACTGATGCAGACCCATCTCGGCCGCGATTCGAGTCGCCAGGCCGGATAGCTTCCAGCTGAGGTTGGCCAAATAAAAGGCACCGATGCATAGCGCCCGGACGTCGTCCAAACTATGGTATCGTGACAGTGCCACGGCGGATGCGAGAGACACAAAGACGTTGTAGCATTGATGAAACGCGTCGGTTTGATTCGGGGTATGCAGTGCCCCAACGGTCAGGATGGCTGCCGCTAGGAGGGTTGAAGACCTCCGGACTGAGTCCAAAGTCTCGTGGACTAGAAGAAGTCCATCCCATAGCATTCGGTTGTTGCACTCTAAGAATCTATTGAAGAGGAATTCCGCGATTGCCATCGAGATTACGCCTTGCGAGATGAAGTCTTTCTCGATTGGCGAAGCCTGAGGTTTGGAACTGAGGTTGTTACGGAGATTCTTCAACCTCGTCAGGTCGTAGAGATTATTCATGGGTGCAGTCACCAGACTTGTTGGGTCAATACCCTGCGGCTGGGGGGAATTCTCCCTCGACATGTCAAGAGCCGAATTGGGATTCTGGGACTCAGGCGCAGATAGCGGTAACTGTACCGGTTGGTATTGCACCATGAAAGAAGATAATTCCGGCTGTTGAGTGTGTCTGAGCAGATGCTGGACTGCCGCCCGCAGCAAGTCAACGTCCGCGGTTGTCTGTTTCTTCCATCTACGGTTGTTAACTGTCTCGAGTTTGATGAAGGAGAAACGAACTCACACCGAGTCGCCTTGCAGAAACTGCTGCGAAATATCGTACGAGACGCACTCCAGGCCGTGCTGCAGACATCTCGCGCATGAGGTATTGTCCGGACTGGTTTGGCATTTGGTCTTTTGACTTCGACATTCCGTGCCTGGCCATCTTAGCTCTGGTACTAGGATTTGTCCCACCGACAGAAACGATGTCTCGACATCGTTTTGGCCAGGAAGATCCCTGGTTCTGACTTCTGTTGATAGTTCAGATATGAGGAGACATCACAACTCACATGCTTTACTGCGAGTCAGACGAAGGCCTTCCCCTGAATTGGGGATGGTAGGGGCAACCGTTGATGGACCTTCATGGGCTGAATTGTCGGTGCGTGGTCTCTTTCGACTCATGATGGGATGGATGGATGGATGGATGGATGGATGTTGTTGATGGCTGGAGATGACCGGTCGAATCCCGTCTCGCGCTAAACCAAAAAGAACAATTGTGCTTTATGCCGTCTTTTATGCACCTGCACAAATCATGACTCGCCAACTGGAGGGATTTGAATAACAATGTTGAAAATTGGACAGAAGATTTTCAAAAAAAAAAAATAAATAAATAAATAATCATGTTCTGCTCAACAGGCAAAATGAATATAGTTTCATGTGCAGTGAACTCCACCCACTGGCCCCACCGACTCTCCTGAATTGTCCTATCGACCTTCCCACTATCCTCCAACCCGCCCGGAGAGATGAATTCATCGGCTGCGCGTGATATGACATCCAAATCCGAGGCATAGACGTAAACATTTGCGTTAATCATTCTATCAAACAACGCTATTGCACTAACAGGGACCTTTCCTTCCTTCTACGAAGTCTTTCCCTCCCGCAGCCAAACACCCACCTCGATTTGATTCTCTCTACAGAATATATCTAAATCCAGTACTCCTTCTCTCCAGATCACCACCGTGACCCCCTTCCTCACCCCTCTCCTCCTCAGCAGCATCAAGCCTTTTATTCATCCTCGCATGCACAACCCTCACTAAAGCATTGACCAGGGAGCTGCCGGAATAGAACCAGGCGATATGACGCCCCTTGATTCTTCTCATTAGCCCCGCCCAACAAATGCAGAGTCAAGAGACAAGAAAAGGACCAACGAACCAAATCGCCATCGCAACCCCCCAGAAACAGCGACGGCCTCGCCCGCGTCAGCCACAAATTCGAGGGTAACTGCATGAGCAAATATCCCACGAAAAGGATACTAGTCGCGAGGTCATTCTCTAGGGAACCAGGTCATGCTTGTGATGGATTACTGTTTATGATATCCCACTCAGGACAAGTTCCTATCTACAGGAATAGCACGGGATGGTAGGGAAGGGGAGATAAGAAGACACACTTCCGATCCAAAAAGTTCAACAAATACATAACGACCACAAACGGAAGCAGATAAACATCCATCTTTCTGAGCAGCTGCCTGGTCATCTTCCTGTGCACTTCCGGGCTCTGAGTGACGTAGGCTTGGTATATCGCATCTTGATCCGATTCTTGGATTTTCCGGGGATTGGTCCGGTACTCGGTGAGGGACTCGGTGGGTTTGGACATTGTGCGACATGTTTGGTAGGTAGGGGTTATTGCATTGCTGATACGAAGGGTGTTTTTATACCATGTCGGCGCATGTCCGACTTGGCGTCTGGTTGGGTTCCCCCGCAAACGCGAGGGTGGGGGTGGGATAGCTTCACCCCGGATCGACACTGTCATAGCCCGAGTAAGGCTGGGGGGATGCAGTGAGGGGAATTCGGTACCCTGGTATCATCTGATGACAGAACAGCGGACAGTGAGTTTTCCGTCCATGTTCGTAGACAGGAGGCTGTCGATATTCACTTGCGACGATATTTAAAGTGGTTGCATTGACCGGACAGATGAGCAGAAAATGCAAGTAACGAGAGATGCAATCAACGAAGAATATGCCAGTTTCCCAAAGTAATAAAAGTAAAGCAGTTGTAGCTGCCAGAGCTATGCATACAATTTCACAAATTTCACCTATATGGAGAAAGCGGAGGCACAACTTGATCCTTCAAACGGCATTTACAACAAATCACCATGATCATCACAAACGGCAGTCTATTGCAATTTGTCAGCCCCTGGTCCAGCCACGTACAAGCGAGTACACCCTCAAACAATCACCCACCTCATATATCCCTTCTCAAACTACTGTATCAACCCGAGGTAATCAGAGTCAAGCATTTCTCTTCGTAAGCTTACACATAAGAGGCGGTTTATGCCACAAAGTGTACGTCTTCTGCTCACTCCAGGTCGCGGACTCCGGAGCCAGCTCGAGGTCAAAGTTCCAGAGCACCCTTGCCAGCATGACACGCATCTCAGCATACGCCAGGTTCTTGCCGATGCAGTTGCGAGGGCCGATCGAGAAAGGCTGCAAGACATTGCGCTGGTCATCGAAAAACGGGGACGACGGGTCGGTCTTTGCTTCCGGTAGCCAACGCTCGGGGATGAATCGTTCGGGTTTGTGGAAGTTCGTAGGCGACAAGTATGCGCTGTACTGGTTGACACAGACGTTGGACTACGAGGTTGTATTAGTGATAGGTCATGTTGATGCTGATGCTGGGGAGGGGTTGACTTACGTGTGGCGCAACCTGGACGCCGGATATCTCGACAGGCCACGAGGGCGTCCAGCGCAGGAGTCCGGTCGGGACGGGGGGGTACATTCGGAGGCCCTCTTCAATGCAGGCCAGCATGTAGGGAAGTTTGCTGCTGACGTTATTGAATGTGATATCGTCTTCTGTTTCCAGTGTGGATCTGACTTCCTGGACGACCTTTTCCAGACATTCGGGACTACGAAGTAGCCAGAATGTCAGGCCCGAGAGAAGGGTGGCGGTGGTCTCGCTACCGGCGATGATGAGAATGTTGGCATTAGCCTCCAGCTCTTCGTCGGTCAGTTCGTCCTTTTCTCCCCGGTGCCGCAGCATGGACTGCATGAAGTCCGCATGACCGCGATCGACTTTGCTCTGGAGCCGTTTTTGGACAGTCTCGGTGCTGTGCTGCAACTGCTTTTCTCTTGCTTCCTGCAATCCCTTTGGGAACCAGGGCACCAAGATCCAAAAGACAAGTGGATAGACGTCCTTCAGCTTGATGAAAGAGAGCGCGCGGACCGACTGAAAGATCGTAGACACCCAGTGGTGATATTGGGATGAGTCCAGGCCGCCGAATGGCTCTCCATAAGCCAGGTCACCGATGAGGTCGAATGTTGTGAGGTTATACCATTTGACCATATCAACAGGCAGTCGAGACTCTGCCACATCGTGCAGTCTGCTGATTAACTTGTCGACATAGGCGATTAACACGGGTTCCTGGGCCTGTAGCCCTTTGGCGGAGAAGGCATGGGCCAGAGCTCTGCGATGTCGTGTGTGATCGGCATTGTTGGCGCTAATGATATCCTTTGGATTGCTGGCGGAGTTGAGGACCTTCTGAAATTGTTGATGGCCGTGGCCGTAGATGTCCTTCCAAGCTTGTGCGGTGATAAACGAGACTTCTGCCGGTCCGTAGCGGACGGCTTCACCGTATGTCGCGTGAAAGGCACGAAGATCCCGCTCCAGCAGCCCCCTGACTTCCGATAGCCTGCGCAAAAGGGGGAAGGCAATCCATGTCTTGGGTCCTGGGATGTGATGTAAAGGATGTAGGAAAAGGTTCCAAATCACACCGGCAACGTTGTAAATGAGGAAAAGAACCCCGGCAAATACTATGGCCGCGAACATTATGACGGGTTGGTGCCGGTAAATTCGAACCGGTCTGCCAGAGGGATTTATGTCGCCAGATTCCCGGTATGCCCCACGGTATTTAACTTCATCCGCAACCTGTTCCTTGTCTATGTGCCGTCATTGAACGGGAGCGTAAAGTCTTCACATCCAGAATCATCACACAGAAGCGGGGTTGTTCTAACAGGGGGCAGCCGAGTCGTAGCGCCGTGGCTAGGCGATCTGGATGGCGCTAGGTTCCATCATTTGTATCGCGAGCGGTGTTGATCGTCCCGTCGCCCCGCTTGACGGGACTGGCGCTCGAGGTAGACAATACCGCATATCTCCACATCTCGAGCCCCCGTCTTGAGAAATCTCTGAGTAGGTTGGTTGGGCAGTGTGATACGATGACGGTGCCCATTTCCAAAGCTGGCCAAAGACAAGAAAATCAAGAAGAGTGAGCAAAGCTGTCTTCCGTGAGGAATGCAGGAAGCCGCTGACCCGATGACCCGGGCGGACAAAAGGCGGAGACAAAATTCGGGGCTAGTTAACCTGATTCGGGTGCGATTGCAGGCCAATTGGACGGGCCCAGAACATAAGAGGCCTGGATCGAGGACACCGATTCCTGTACTATTCTGCATATCGTGGCGCGGATGTCAGGCTTGCCAGTTCGGGAGCCGGAAGTTAAACTGCTGGCCGTTTCAAATGCGGGCTCGGAGCCGAGGCGATCCACTGTCGGTGCAACCCTGTGCGATCTGTCCTCAGCTCCGCCTAATCAATGATCCATCATTCGGTGTCAGTTATCGAAGCGATATGGGTTTGAATCTGGCATGGCCAATATGACAGGCCGCAGTCGTCATCTGGTGTTGATTGTGGGCACAGGCACGACGCCGCTAAATCCTGGTGCCGCTACGAGTGCGCTTTGGCCCCATCGAGCAACCCACCACTGCCACAGATGTGAAGTCAAATTTCACATTAAGGCGGCACAGCCATGTGCGCAAAAGCCTGTATTGCGCGGATTCGGAGCCATGGTTTGACATACAACCATCATCCTATCCCCTGTTCCTATTGTATCGCGAGGCCAGAAATATCCTTGTCGCAATCATTTCGTCTGTCTTCTCGAAGACGATGCAACGTGGTAGGTACATCAAGGCGGGTGCACCAGGCATCAGCGGAATCCATCCTCAGCGACGGATCCCGGACGACTCGTGCTAGTCCAACGCGCCATGCCTCGACCAAATTTCGAGGTATCCGATTGTTGGGTGTGATGAACAGAATTGGAAAGTCCCGCGCAGTCACGGTAGGGTCTTTGGCAGCCACCGTCTGATATATCAGCTCAATCAGATCAGAGTTCCAAATCGCTCACAGGGTTGGGCCTGGGCTATCTATTCTAATAAGATCTCAGGTCGGCTCGACGTCACTGTAAACCAGGCAGTGTCCAGAGTACATTTGTCTGTGCGAAAAGAGATCTCCCGGGTAAATGCTCGCTAACGATCGAACACTGCGATTCGGCGGGACCCATTGCATGGCTACCGATGTCATCATGGTAGTGTCTGAGCGACATTAGAGCCTCCACAGGCGTCCAAACTTCTCCATGTGCGTATCACGAGTGGAACGGGTGTGGTCTTTCCGCCGGGAGGAGTCACCAGCACGTTCGCAGCGCTGCATCCACCACCTCCACCGCTCCGGCCAGATCTTCTCGTCTGAGTGCTGACAGGGGTAGCCCAACAAGGCTCTGTGGTTTCCATCGCGCTAGTTAGGTAAAGAAGCAGGAAAAAGTTAATCTGTCACTCTATCGCCGTTACACTGCCCGGACTGGTCAGATGGATTTACGCATATGGCAGACTCGGGACACGTAGAATACCATCAACAGCGGTCTCGGGATGACAAGACTAAAGTCCCAACGCGTGGGATTCTATGAATAGCAGTCTCTGAATGACCACGCCAGCGATGGAGTCATGGATGGTCTTCGCGACCACGATTTGCCGATGGGCGAGAGATGCCAGGACAAGACAAGAGAGGACAAGAAGTACTCCGTACCGCCGCGACAAACAACAAGCAAAGCCCGGCATCCGGGAACGCTGTTCTTCCGTTGCTGTGCCCAAAATGGCAGGTGCACGTGCCGTGTCCCGTGCCAGGCTTAAAAGGGAATGGTCCTCTTACCAAACTTACTACATACCGTTTCTGGAATACCGATGATACTTGCCAGGTGGTAACCTACCTGCCCTACGGAATACTCCACACCTCTTTATATACTGTCAGAGGACCTGGAAAAGTAAAAGTGACGGGTGAACCTGTCTTGTATTATAGAAGATGAATAGCGGGCTAACATAGGGGCCCGGAGGCGTGCGTAGAGAGGGTCACAGCATAGTTCAGTAAAAGTCAAAGATAATAGCTTATTATTATTTATATATATTTAATAATTTGCTATACTCACTGATTATTTTATAATAATTATTAAACTGTTATCTATAATAACAGTTAGATTATAATTAGATTATATTATAGTTACTTACAGTTACAAAACAGTTATTTATTATTATTTATATATAATAATAATTACTAATAATATAATCTTATTTAAATCAGATAATTATATATAAATATTATTAAAGTTAAATATAATTCAGAAACTATTATATAATTATAATTTAATAAAAATAGTTTTATAATAAAATAGATTAGATATAAAAGATATTTATTATTTATAAATAAAAACTATATTTTATAAATATATAATAAATATTAATTATAATTTCTAGATATTATCTGATATTTTATAGATATATAATAAATATTAATTATAATTTCTAGAGATTATTTAATTATATTTCTTAAATAATAATAAGATTTTTATATAAAATATTCTCAGAAGTAATATATAATTATATAAAAATAATAAAAGATTAGAATATAATAATTTATTATTTATATAAAATTCATATTCTATAAATAATATACTAGATCTTATCTAGTATTAATATTAACTAATATCTATCTATAAATATTATTTATATTAATTATTAGAGTGGCTAACAGCCAGGTCAGATCAGGTTAATTAGAATTTTTATATCTAACTGCCAGATTATAATCAGATTAAGAAAATTTTTATATCTGATCGCGGTATAATTAAAAATCAGGTAATTAATTATTTTAATTATTTTTAATATTAAGATCTATTTATTATATCTTTTTAAGCTTTAGTATAATTAAGATATATCTAGATTAAATAATTATTAATCTGGCTATCTTTATTATTATCTAAAAATATATAAAAAAAAGCTTTTTAAATTAAAAAAATATAATTAAAAAAGAAATTAATATCTTCTTTATTATTATTTATTAGAAATAATAAGAAAATTCTAGTTATATTAATAAAATTTAGCTTTTTATAAAATTATTATTCTTATAATAAAAAATATATATAAAAATATATAATTACTGCTCTATTTTAATTATATATTTTAATTATATTATAGAACACTAGAAAAATTATATATTAATTATTAATTAGAATATTAAGAATAAATATATTATTTTTATTTTATTATTTTTTCTGAATTAGATTATTTTTAGATTTATAAATAAAATATAACTCAAAGAGCTATTAATAAAATTAGAAACTAGCAGATAGTTAAAAAGATTATAAATAATTAGATTATTAAGATAGAGTAGATTAAATAGATTAAATAAATTAAATAAATTAAATAAATTAAATAAATAAAATAAATAAATAAAATATACTAGATCTGTACTATAATATTATAATTCTTATAAAAAATTTTATAAAAATCTTTTATAAATTTTTTTTATAAATATTTATTTTTTATTCTAGTTTATTATATTTTAAGTAGTTTTATTTAAAAAAAAAGACTATTTTTTAACTCTAGACTTTAGATATAAATTTCTGTTTATTAAATTTATTAAAATAAATAAAATACAGCAGATATCTCAGCTGTATATTAAAATATAATAAATTATATTTATATAAAATTATATTTTAAAATAAAATAAACTGCTTTTATAGAGTTTTTTATTTTTATTTTTTTATATCTATTATTTATAAAATAGCTTTAGAATTATAAATTAATTATAATTATTTAATTTATTTTTAAAAAATATTATTAAATCTTTTTCTTTTATTTCTTAGATCTTTATAAATTATAATAATATCTAAACTAAGATAAGCTTTTTAAATCAGATTTTTTCTTTTTTTCTAAATCTTAAAATTATATATATTATAAAAAATCAGAAGATTATTTTATATCTAGCTCTTTAAAAAAAATTTTTTATTTTTTAGAATTAATAATAAAAAATAATCTTTTCTAAAGATTATATATAAATTAAAAAACTATTATTTTATTTTAATTAGAAAAAATTATTAATAATATAAGATAGTTTTTAAAAAGATATATTATTTTTTAATAGAATTTCTTATATCTATTATATTATATATTTTTATATTTTATAATATCTAGAAATTAAAAACTTAAAAACTAGTTTTATAAATTATTATCTCTGTAAGAATTATAAAAAGAAATTATTATTAATTATATTTAAGTAAATAATTAATTAGATACTAAGTAAAGAATTACTATAAATATTTATTTATTTTTTTAAAATAAATTTTTTTAATTATTATTTTTTTTTAGATCTCTATAGTTTATAATAAACAGAATTTTTAGAATTAAGTTTTATATTTTATAATTATCTATTATCTACTATTTTAAATTATTAAATATATTTAATTTAAATAAATAATTAATCTTATTATTTTATTTTTTTATTGAAAATTAAATTCTTCTAATTAAATATAAATTAAAAAATATTTTATAAAATTATCTAAAGAGATATATATATAGCTGCTATTAAAATTTCTGAATATTAAATAAATATTAATTATAATAGACTGCTAAATTAGTCTTAATTAAAAAATATTTTTTAATTTAATTAAATATTTCTTAATAAAAAATATAAATTATTATAAGATTTTGCTAGATTTTTAATTAATATCTAAATCTTATATTAATAAAAATCTAGCTATAATTATTTTATTAGTCTTGTATAAATATAATCTTATTTATTAATTATTAGATATAATAACTAATAATATTAATAATAATAATATAATATTTAGTATAATCTCAGCTGAACTCTAAACTTAACTTAATTAGAATATTTAATTTTATAATATTTTAATTAATTTTAATTTTTTAAAGATTATTTAAAGCTAGTATTATATTCTCTATCTTATTTATATAATTTAGCTTATAATTAATATTTTTTTATAAAAACTTTGAATTAAGATTTTAAACAGTATTATTAAATATATATAAAAAAATAATAATAAAAATCTTAAAATCTCTTTTAATATTTTAAAAATTTTTAAAAAGATATATTCTAGAAGCTATCTATAAAAAATTAATATAAAATTTTTTTTTATAAAAAGCTTCTAGAAGTTTTTTATTAGCTAGTTTATTATATTAATTTTTAATTATAAATTTAAAAGATTATATAATTTATAAATATAAGCTCTTAATATTATAAAAAGTTTTTATTTATTTAATAATTTAAATCTAGCTTAGTCTACTATCTTTTTTTTAATTATAAAATCTACTAGAATTTAATCTATCTTTAGAGTGGCTTAACCTGATTATTATATCTTAATCTTAACCTGGCCATAATCTGACAGTTAGATTAAGAATTTAAGATATAAAAAATTTTTAACTATATAATTAAGATTAGATTAAGATATAACTATTATTATAACTATTTATATTTATTAATTAGAAAGATTAGATATAGCAGATAGATTAATAATTATAAATTAATTTATAATATATATATTCTTTTTATATAAATAATATATAAAGTATAATATATATTTAATTATAATATAAATATAATAATATTCTTTAAATATAGTCTACTGCTTGATCTGCTTAACTGATTATATTAAAAAATATATTATATTTTAAAAAAGACTTTTATAAAATCTAGTATAAAAGAAATAAAAAAAGATATAAAATATTTATTTTTTATACTGTCCGGGACAGTAATTATAATAATATAAAAATTATAAAAATCAGATCTTTATCTCTATTTAAATATATATAATAATTAAAGACTTAGATAAGACTAGTTTTTTTAATTTTAATAATAATTTATTCTCTAAATTATCTTTAAGATTATCTATATTCTTATTCTTATTAATATAAAAGATAGTAATTATTTTATTTTTTTTTTATTTTTTAAATATAAAGATAATTAAATCTAGATTAAGATTATTAAGTATATTCTGATATTTCTTACTTATAATAAAATAATTAATATATATTTAAAATATAACTGCTTTAATTATATCAGAATTAAGATAGTTTTAGTAATAATAATAAATATCTTAAGAATTATTAAAAAAATATTTAATATTAATATTATTAATTATAATTAAGAGAAAATCTCTAGTTATTTAATAAAGAATAAAAAACTAATTACAGCGGGACTTTTAGTAAATAAGAATATTAATATATTTTATAATATCTAGAATTATATTAATTTAATTAAAGATATCTTAAGAAGCTATATATTTTTAATATCTAGATATATCTTAAATTTTTTATATATCTTAATTATAGATAAGAGTCTTTAGTATTTAAAAATATTATAAAAAATCTTATCTAGATTTAATAATAATCCGAAGATTATTAATAATATATTAATTATTAAATTTTAACTAAAATAAAAAAAGAATATTTTCTTAAAAATAGTTTAATATTTATAATATTAATTAATATTCTTATTCAGCTATATATCTTTCTTAAACTTTTTAAACTTTAATATTAGATTCAGAATAATTATAATTATATAAATATAATCTTCTATCTAATAAATATAATAATAATATTTTTAGAGCTTTTAATATATATTATATAAGCTCTCAAGAATCTTCTTCTTTTAAAATACTTATTTTTTTTTTAGTCTGTTAATTAAATAATTCAG